ACTCTCGGGGGTGGTGTGTGAGGGAGCAGCGCGACGTTGTCTACCTTACCGCGGCGCCGCCCGCGGAGGGGAAGGGCGACGGGGCGGACGCCGCCGCGAAGAGCAAGGAGGGTGGGGCGGGTACCGTTGCAAGTGGTTCGGCTCCAGCCGCGCCGTCGGCTGCTTCACCGAAGGAATCGGTTTCGGCCGACTTTGAACGGACCGTGATCCCGAACGAAGTGATGCTCTTCCGGTTTTCGGCCCTCACGTGGAATGGCCATCGGATCCACTACGACGAGCCCTACGTCACGGGCGTCGAGGGCTACAAGGGTGGGTTGCGACGGATTGCCGCCGAGGAGCATCCACCTGATCCGATGCCACTTCTCCAGGGCTCGTCACCCACGGTCCTCTGGTCTCTCTGCTCCTGATTGACACCCTCCACTGTCAGGTTCCGTCCCTGCGGTGCAACGTGGCGTCGAGGCTGCCCCTCGAGCCCTCGAGGCTCAAAACATGGACCTACAGGGCCCTGAACCCGTGGATCGTCGGCGAGCCGGTCGTCTTGAAGGGCAAGTTCGACGCGGACGGCTGCGGGGCCGAGCTTTGGGCGGAGAATGCGGCGGGCAGGAGGGGGATGGAAGGCCGGGTGACCTGGTGAGCTGGTCGACATGTGATGCCGTCGATTGCAGTCAGTTTGCGACGTTCATTGTAGCGGATGAAGAGCATTCGGTGGTCGAGTCGCATAGAGGTCTTGCGCCTTTGCGAGCGAATGACTCTGATCCCCCCGCGCCGCCTTCGCCACGCGGCGCCGTCCCTGAAAGGAGTCACCTCGATCAAGGACACACCGCGATGCGCAGCCCCCCGAATCCTGGCGCTTCGGCGCTCATCGTCCTGCTCGCCGTCGTCGCCCTCGCCTGCCGCGCCGCGGCCATCGAGCGGCCGCCGACCGCCATGCCCGGCGACGACGGCCTCCCGCAACCGTACATTGACGCCAACTGCACCGTCGGCAACGTCACCCAGCGAATCGACCACTTCAACACCAGCGACGCGCGCACCTTCAACCAGCGCGTCTATGTCTGCGACGCGTACTTCCCGCGGACGACGGCAGAGGCCGCGAGCAACGGCTCGGTCATCGTCTTCCTCGGCAACGAGTCGCCGCTGAACAACATCGTACAACCCATCGTGTTTGAGAACGCCGCGCGCATGCGCGCCCTCATCGTCGAGATTGAGCACCGTTATTACGGCCGGTCTATCCCCTTCCCGCTCGGCGCGAACGGGATGCTGCCGACAGAGCAGTATAAGTACCTCACCATGGAGCAGGTCATGGCCGACACCAAGCTGGTGGTCGAGACCGTGCGCGGCTCGCGCGGCGTGCCTCCAAGGGTGCCCTCCCTGGTCATTGGCGGATCTTACGGAGGCCAGCTGTCGTCGTACCATCGGTTGACCTATCCGGACACATTCCAAGCTGCAATAGCATCGAGTGCTCCCGTGGACTACGTGCTCGGGACGCAGCTGCTGGACAGGACCGTGGAACGCTTTCACGAGGTGCTGCGCCGTGCGTACGAGACTCTGGCGAGCCCCGAGTGCGCGACCAACATTCGCACGGGAATGGACCAGGTGGCTGCTTCCCGGAACGGCACCGTGGCCGACAGGCGCAGCGCGGCGCTTGCACTGGGCCTGTGCCGCGCCGACTCGGTCCTGGACGATCCCCTGACGGTGCAGCCCCTGCTCGGCTTCCTCTACGACTCGTTTGTCGGCCCGGCTCAGCTGAACGACCAGAAGCCGTACCCCGGATACATTAAGAGCATCTGCTCCGCCGTCAACGAGTCGCTCGCCAACGACCCGCAGAACTACCTCGGCGCCCTCCAGGCCGCGTACCGCCTCCAAAACTCCTCGGAACCCGCCGACTGCTTGGATTTTGTTCCTGAGAATGTGGTGCTTCCTCCTCCGAGTGCCGATCCCATTTGGCCCAGCTACAACTATCAATCGTGCGCCCAGGGCGCCGTCAACTCGGGCGAGCTCTCCACCAATGGCTCCACGGGCCTCCTCCCGACCTACACCCTCACCGTGCAGGACATCCGCGCCGACTGCCTCCGCTACTTCGGCCCCTCCTTCCCGCCAATGACCCCGCTTCCCGTCTCGCTCGATTTCCGCAATGCCCTCGCGCGAACGGGGGCCGTGGTCTTTACCAACGGCGACGCGGACCACTGGAGCGGGGGCTCCATCTCGACGGCCATCCCTGGCGTCAGGATGGCGACGGTCGTTTACCCGAACGCCTCGCACTGCACCGACACCCACACATACAATTGGAACAACACGGCCGAGCCTCCTTCGTACAGGCAGCTGAGGACGCAGGCCATGGACGCGGCGAGGGTGTGGATGGAGGAGTACAGGGCCAAGCCGTCCGGTGCTGGGGCGATCGGGGCGGGCAGGCTGCTGGGGGCCACGGTGGCGGCAGTGGCAGCCGTCGTCATGCTGGGGGTGTAGATGGGGATCTGGCTATGGATCAGCTGCAGTTCTAAGTCTTGCTTCAGTGGAAGGTACTTGCTATACGGTCTGTCCAGGCGACCCACGTCTCCTCCAACGCAATCAACCCTGGTCCTCCCCGTCTGCAGCATCCCCTGGCCGGCAAGTGAGCTTGTGCGTGCTCCAGGCCGCCCGCTGGCACTCTTTTGAGCAGTACCACACCCTCTTGCACCTGCCGCACCTCCGCAACTCGGATTTCTTCATCAGCGCGTAGCAGCTGCAGCACGTGCTCGTCGCTGGCAAGCGTACGGGGGTTCCGGAGATGCCGCCGAAAGCTTTGCGAAGGAGTTTTGGGAACAGCAGCTCGCAGTCAGGGCTTTCGCACGAGGGTGCGATGACGGCAGCCTAGTTGTCGAAGAGCCGGCCGTTCCTGCCGACATTGTGGAATGCAGTTGATCGCAGCTTTGTTGTGCGCCGACCGCACTCGACGCAAGGGCTCCGGAAGGCCGCTCGGCAGGCCGTACGGGTTCTGGCGATACGAAGTCGCTGAAGAGTCCGCGGGCGACTTCCGTCTCAAGCACGAAAGTGGCGACTTGGTGGAAGGCCAGTCTTTCGGGCTCGTTCAAGGGCGGCAAGTCGGGCTCGAAGACAGGCGGTCCCCGCCGGATTCGCTCCGCCGATGACGGGCCCGGCCAGCTTGGAGGTCAACGCCCGGTGAACCTCAGATCCGGCATTCCGGGAACGTTCCAGCTCTCTACGGTCCGTTCTCCTTGGTGTCGCACGCACGCATAGTCCGGACCTCGAGGGCCTCGATGCGGTAGTCCTCCGACGTGCCGATCGCTTATAAAGAAGGACTGCTAGAGTCTCACGCTCTACCGAAAGGAGGTTGTTGGCGAGCCGGTCCGCACGGCGTGCCGCTCCGCGCGATTCCAAACAGCACGTGCCGCGCCAAAGCACGACAAGAGGGTCGGGGGAGCGGGCTGGGGCACCTCCAACACCAGGCGCTGTCCCAGCTCGACCTCGTGCTGCCGGAGGCGTCAAAGCGCGGCCGCGGTGAACGGGAAGAAGCTCCGCATCGCGCACCCCTGTGCCGCGTCAGCGCGATCGGCGGCACGCGCTCGATGGCGGCGGAGGGCAGGTGGAAGGAGAGCAGTGGCAGCGGTGCCTCGTTCCCGTCCTCCGACGCAACTCCGCCGCGCAAGCTCGGTCGCCGGGGATGCGCGGCGGCGCCATTTCCATCGGGCCGGTGCGGTGGGCTCATGGGCAGCCGCAATCTCCGCCGCGGGACAACAAAACTCCGCTCTCCGTGGTCCCTACGGACGCACCGTCAGCGGTGAGGGAAGCCGACGACGCGCGCGCGGGCGGAGTCGGGACCCACCTCCTCGCCTACACACCCCGGCCACGGCGCCGTCTGACGGCCGCCGGCCTTCGCCGCTCCCCGCAAAACCACGGAATCCCACCTCATGATCCCCTCCCCGAACGGCCCCCTCCACCCGGCCCGTGGATGCACGGATGCGCGCGGGCGGCCGAAAACGCGAAGGAGCGTCTCGGGCGGCCCCGGCCGCAGCGCATCCGGGCGCGCGCCGGCGGCGCCGGGCGGGACACCGCGGGCATGGCGCGCGGCATCGTGTCACGGGCCGGCGCGCTGCCTGGACGGGGGTTGGAAGAGCGTGGAGTGTCGATGGGTCTTGGAAGGACTTCGCGGCGTGGCATTTGATCACGACAGCACTCAACGTCGCGCACAGAGAATCATCAAGATTGAGCGGGTTACCATCAGGCACCCGCACTGGACGACGGTGAACCAGATCGAGGAGGAACGGAGGGCGAAGCGATGTTGATGGAAAGAATTGACAGTCCGAAAGCGACGGTCCCTTCGCAGACTCCCGAGCGTGCCCGGACCCTTGATTCCCCCGCCTCGCCCTCGTCCATTCCTGTTCCGTTCCTCACTCCTCTCCTCGAAACCTCTTACTTACTACCTCCAGTCGAAAAAAGGCTACCTGCTGAGGAAAAGTGAAAAGGAGCCGCACCCACGGTGGGGGTCGAACCCACGGCCTTGAGATGACCTCTAACTCGTATAAGAGTCTCACGCTCTACCGGGAGGCGAGCCGTGTACCGTGCCATCAAACCCCCCACGTCCCATTCCTTACCGTCTGATCCTTCCAGCGGGGGGTGCGCGCGTCGGGCGATCCGTGGGATGAAGGCCGCTGCCGCGGGTCCGAGCCGACCGTGGGTCTCTTGGCCGAGAGGAACATAGTCCACCGGAGCCGGGTCCGGGATCGCAAAGCGACCGTTGAAATATTCCACCTTCTTAGCCTCAGCGTTCGCGGCCGTCACCCCGGGCTCCCCGTCGGGCGGGTGGCTCCAACGACCGCCAATGTCGACACTCCCAAACCCTGCTTTTCAGGATCGTCTTGATTGATCACGGAATCCCTTCCCGGCTCCCTTGGCATTTAGTGCCGTATTCAAGTCTCCCATTTAGCTTTCCTGGAGTAACCTCGCTGTGGCCGAACGATGATTTCTTGATATATACACCCACAACTCTTCTGGTCACAAGAAACACCCGCGTAGCTCAATTGGACTAGAGCGTGAGACTCTTACACGAGTTAGAGACCATCTCAAGGCTGAGGGTTCGACCCCCTCCGTGGGTGGATTTATTTTCATTTTTGAGCCCCCGTTGCTATTGGTGCGATGAAGACCAACAGTAGATCAGTTTGCTTTCTTGAAAAAGAAGACCAGGTACGCCGGGGGATGGTTGAGGGCAAACACCCCACCGACGCTGCGGCGCGCTGGAGCGGCAGCGGACGCCGCATCGCCTGCGGTCCCGCCCTGGCCATGGGGCCCGACGCGGTGCCTCTCCGCGTCCGACCCGCGGCCGCGCGTCATCCCCGACCCCGAACCGCCCGCCCAAGTGCGCGTACCAAAGCACCTGTCCTTGAAGGTGCCCTCAGCAATCACCTGACGACGGAGACCGGGGAGCGGGGCGCTAGCGGGCACTGGGACCCCCTTGCCTCCCCCCGCGCCGGCCTCCGACCACGCAGGAGTTGGACGCGCTGAAGCAGAAGGCGCGGCGGCTCCGGGAGGAGGAAAGGGACGGAGAGAATGGACGAGAGGGACGGCGGTGCGCTCGGAGGCGACGACGCCGAGGGGGGGAACGCGCTTTGGTCCACCACGCCAAGGTCCCGACGTCGCCGGCTGCCTCGTGCTGCCGGCCGCGGGGGGGCTACGAGGAGAAAGAGGAGGGCGACGTGTTTTCGAGCTCGAGGAACGAGGACGAGGACGAGGGCGAGGGTATGAAGGTGATGAGGGCCTCGCGGTGCACGGACTCCCCCGAGTTGTACATCGGGACGTTCATGTGCTCCCTGTCGTATTCCAAACCCGTCGCCGACTAGAGTTGCCATCGCTGTTGCGATGCATCTTTCGCGCGCGGCGTCGAGTGCGGGACGGCCGCGCGATGGCCGCGTGGAGCGGCGATGACGATGGGCCCTGGCGGTCAGGGTCTCCGGGCGGATTCCCTTTACAAGGATCTCGCGTGACTCAATCTAACGACGCCACGGGCCCGCGAAAGAAAGCGATGATACGGAATCAACGCCGGAACTCTGATTGCCTAGTTTGCGAAGCGTGGGTGCACGACGGTCTGGTGGCGGCGATGCTGACAGACTTGACACGCTTCGTTCTTGCTCCCCACTCACGCATACTGCCCCCGCAGCACATTCACATAGGCCTCTGGACCATGAAGAGCACACGCTGGTGCAGCACATGAATATGCATTGCATTTGTTTCACCATCCTGCTTTCACACTTCACGCATTTCGTCGCAAAGCTATACTCCGTCCTCACCAAAGCTGTTATCAAAAAGCCGGTGCATCAGACATATTTGAGGGCTCCCAATGCTCGATTCTGCTGCAGGATTATGTGGATGGTCCACTACAATGGCGGAAATGGTGGCAGATGTCGTGGTCAAGCTAGGAAAACTCACGATGTGGTTCGAAAATCTGCGCTACCATCCCATCTAGGTGTCTTGATTGGTGCTGCATGCCTTCTTCGATTGCAATGTAGGCACTTGGTTGATGATTTCTCCACGTTCAATGCTGCAAGAAGCAACATCTGGGGCATGTCGAGACTCTGGTAACGTTGCCTTCGAGGGGCTGAATTGGAGGCCATGAATACAGTACTTAACGACAAGGAAGCCAGGAATCAGTCCCAACATCGATAATAACGACGCTGGAAAATAGCTTTCTCAGCTGGAGCATCAATTTCCAGTGTCTGTGCCGATAGCAAGAGTCAGCTTACACGTCTTGCCGGGCAACATTCACAGCATTGATCACAATGGCCAGCCTAGCATCCACGTTTCCGAAGGCTCCAACTACCAGAGTGGGTTACGTGGCCCAACAGCTCCTCTCCCTCTCCGGCATGAGCTTCAGCAGGGATGTCATGCGGACCAAGGCGTAATCAAGATCTCGCCATTGCAACAGTGCGTGACAAGGCGGATGCCTCCTGCCACCAGCAATGGCGGTTTCAGTAAGCCGTTTGCTGTGCGTGGTCATCCTCGTCCAGGAGACTGATGAGCTCGACGTCGCGGTGAGGAGGGGCGCTCAGTCTTCAAGCTGATAGAGCCAAGGAACCAGGCACGGCACTATGCGGGAAAAATCCGATGCAGCAGGCCGAAAATTCCTTTGTGAAACAACGGCTGGCAGCGTCTGGCTTTAATGCAGGCAGCAGGTGAGAAGGAGGTTGACTCGCCGAGCGACTGCGCGCGCGGGACGACGGACCCGAGTCGGTCGCGTTCTCCTCCCCACCTTCGAACGCGGCATCTCCCGCCTCCCTCCCTCCGCCCGCCATCTGACGCTGCTGTTTGCACGATCCTCCCCGCAATGAGCGGGTCGACGGGCGAAGCCGAGGTCCCCGCCGAGGCCTCCGCCGAGGTGCGCGACCCGAGCTTCGCGCACTCCTTTTCGTCTCATCCCCGACATGCCGCCGTCCTCCGGACATCAGACGACTTGGGCGGACACCGCGGGGCATTCCAACGTCGTCAACACGGGACATTCATCGGCTCCGGGTTCCGGGTGGACGTGGGATGTGGTGCTTGTTGATGGCCATGGGGGAGAAGAAACGGCGGCCGAGGAGTCCGAGGGGGATGATTCGGAGCTGGACACCATCGACGGCGAGGTGGACGGTACAGGCGAAGCGGAATCTGTTGAAGGCAGGTGTTCCAGCACATTGTGATCCGTGGTGGTCATTAACGCGAGGGATGCTCCATTAGACGGCCTTCCCGCTCTCGAGCCCTCGCCAATCATCTTAGGACGTATGTGGGAACGGGGCGGCCGGTGGTGTTGTTAACGGGGTCCCAGTTCACAGTATTCTATGCCCCCTCCTTTTCGGTCTCGCAGCCTCGGCCGTTGCTCCTCACCCCAGCCAGCTCGGCCGCATCTCGCACCCGTGCAACCTTTCGTTTACAGTGGACCAGTACAACGAGGTCTGTCCATCTCCGGATTGACATTGCCACCAGCAGCTGACTCTATTCTGCGCAGATGATACAGGCTTTCGAAGTTCGTGTTGAAACAGAGGCACCCGACGATGGAGGACACATAGATGACGCGGAGGACGAGGAATCGGATGAAGGAGAGGATGACGAGGAGGACGAGGATAGCTACGCGGAGGATGGCAGGGAGATCGCCTTGGTGGTTGACTGAGCGCAGAAATTCTCGTGTTGGCTACGTCAATCCTACATCACGGTCGGAAAGGAATAAGAATCACAATCCATGCCGCGTTTGATGTCGTAGCAGGCTGCCGACTTCCGCACCGCTGGCGCGGGCGGGACGAGCGTGCGGGGGGGACGCGAGACCCGCAGCCGCGACAAACGACTTCCATCTTCCCATCGAAACGCAATCGTTCGCCTCCCCTCCATTCACCGGCTCTCCTTTTCCGCGTACCCGCTGTTCCCGCGATGAGCGACCCGGCCGCGCCCGGAAGAGAAGATGGTGGGAAGCGCAGAGGCGGCGCATGGGGTCTAGAAGTTGACGAGGGCGGACATGCAGTCCACCGTCATGCCCACGGGAAAGCAGCACAACGATAAGTAGTTTCACGGGGTGAAGACCGTGGAGCAGGAGGAGTAGATGATAGCACGATGACCCGTGGGAAGGAGGACGCGAGACGTTGGCCGCCCGCGTCGGTAGCGATGGCCAAGGATCCCATGCCAAATAATGAGAGGACTGCGGTCCCGGCTCATATCCCGGCGATATCTGCGCAATTCCAGGCCCAGGCGCACGGTATCCGCGTTCTCCGACGAAGCTGGCCCGAACCAAGCTTGACGATGCGCCGGAGCGTCCCAGCGTCGGCACCCCGAGCTTCGCGCGGAGGAGATGCTCGAACCAGCAGAGACGGCGAGCACGTCGGTTCAGGCCCACAGGAAGCCGATGTGCGCGACGCCGCGACAGTCGTGATCACCGCGAAGTCCTTCCAAGACCCATCGACACTCCACGCTCTTCCAACCCCCGTCCAGGCAGCGCGCCGGCCCGGGACACGATGCCACGCGCCATGCCCGCGGTGTCCCGCCCGGCGCCGCCGGCGCGCGCCCGGATGCGCTGCGGCCGGGGCCGCCCGAGTCGGTCCCTCCCGTTTTCGGCCGCCCGCGCGCATCCGTGCATCCACGGGCCGGGTGGAAGGGGCGGTTCGGGGAGGGGATCATGAGGTGGGATTCCGTGGTTTTGCGGGGAGCGACGAAGGCAGGCGGCCGCCCGACGGCGCCGTGGCCCGGGTGTGTTGCCGAGGAGGTGGGTCCGACTCCGCCCGCGCGCGTCGGCTTCCCCGCACCGCTGACGGTGCGTCCGTAGGGACCACGGAGAGCGGAGTTTTGTGGTCCCGCGGCGCAGATTGCGGCTGCCCATGAGCCCACCGCACCGGCCCGATGGGAACGGCGCCACCGCGCATGCCCGACGTCCCCGGCGACCGAGCTTGCGCGGCGGAGTTGCGTCGGAGGACGGGAACGAGGCACCGCTGCCACTGTTCTCCTTCCGCCTGCCCTCCGCCGCCATCGAGCGCGTGCCGCCGATCGCGCTGACGCGGCAAGGCGCGGCGCGATGCGCAGCTTCTTCCCCTTCACTGCGGCCGCGCTTCGACACCTCCAGCAGCACGAGCTCGAGCTGTGGCAGCGCCTGGTTTTGGCGGTGCTCCAGCCCGATCCCCCGACCCTCTTTTTGTGCTTTGGCGCGGTGCGGGCTGTTTGGAGTCGTGCGGAGCGGCGCGCCGTGCGCACCGGCTCGCCCACAACCTCGTTTCCACTCGACCGCGGATCCACCGCGAGTCGGACCCGAACCCCCCGCGGCTCCCGTCGGAGAAGGAAGCGCCGGCCGCGCTCGGCGCGCACCTCGGCCGCCGCGGAGCCCCGCGCGCGCAGTCGGCCGGGGCGAGCCCCGGGACGGCCGCCCCCCTCCCCTTTCTCCCCGTCGCAATGGCGCCCAAAAAGTCCAAACAGCCGGCCATTCCACCATGGCAGAAGCCAGTCACCGATTTCTTCAAGGTTGGGTCAACCGCTGTCTTGCTGGTCTGGCCGAGTTCTCACGCACTCCGACCAGACGCCTGCCCAGTCAACGCCCTCCCCGACCACGGCGCCGCCCGCCTCGGCCCCCGCGCCGCCCGCGCCATCAACCGCG